TTACAGGCTAGGGGAAAACCGAAGATAAGAAGCACCCAGATCAAAGCGGGAGGCAGAGTGGTGCCCTGCCGCACTCCACAGCGTGCTGATGCTCTGCATGCCCAGGATTTTGCAGCACAGCCTCCCCAGCAGCACCGCAGCCCATGCCCGCATGCACGGGGTGGCCTTGCCCTGGATACATTGCCCTGAYGAACCCCATGAGCTCCACCAGCCCTGCAGGAAGCAGCATTTTTAGAGAGGCTGTTAAAAACCTCACCAAACTCTTCACCTTTAGCAGCACGATGGCAAAATCAGCAGGGCCCCTCTGCTTTGGAGTGCTAATTGCACCGGGGGCTTCTGGGGTCCCAAATGGCCATCGGGGGCCGGCGGCTGAGCGCATTGTCCGGCAAAAGTCACCTCCTTTTGTCCTGAGCAGCCAAGAAAGGTCAGAGATGGGGCCGGTCCTTCTTTGATATTCTACACTGCTTTCCCATTAGGTATCATTAATTTGATGAGCTTCAGCGAACCATAGGTGCCCGAAGGAATTTGAGGTTAAATATACCCAAAAGGGGAAAGAAAAAGGAAAAAGGGATGTCAGTGTTTAATTAGTATCTTTTCTGTTCAGTCAATATTGGAGGCTTTCACATTCACTTTGGCAGCAAAATTCCACACTTGCATTTACGGGCCAGAAAGGACCACAGTATCGAGCTTATCTGGGACCACTGAGGGCTATTTTAAGCAGAGAAGTTGTAAGAAGTTGTATGTATCGCTGTGAGTATATGAGTGCACTCACTGACCTGTGGGGCCACTTCATCACCTAAGCAAGGACCTGAGGATGCTATTTTCATCTAAGAAGAAACAGGGGAAACATTTGGGGGATACGTGGGTCAGATTGTCATTTCTATTATCAGGCAGTGCTCCTAGCACCATCAGTTCACTCTGCGGAGCAGGAGGGTTGGGGGTCCCCACCACTATGAGCCCCTCAGTCACTGCAGCCACCTCAAACCATTTCCTAAATCCTGGGCAAGGAAGGATCTTGCCTTCTCTTTAAGTCACCTGTTTACACAGAAAGAGATTATGGTCATTGCTGGCAGCACCAGCTAAATCCTTGTCCAGACTTGGCTGAAGAAATGAGGTGAAACTACCTCAGAAGAGCTGGAAAACAAGAATTTGGGGTCAGAAAAATAGTTCTGAGCTCTTGGAACCTGTTTTGGTGCCAACAACCCAGAGTCTTTTTATTTACTAATGTGCTGAAAACCACGGCAGCACCCCCAGGATCCCTCTAACGAACAAAATCAGTTGTCAAAATTTTTAGGAGCTGGCACATGCCCAGCAAAAAGTCTCACTTCCCCAAACAGCCACTTTCCAACCAGAAATAATTAACTGAGAAAACCCCAGCCAGCTTCAAGTTTTTCTTGTGCCAGGAGTCTAGGGAAGATGGCAACGTGCTGGCTGCATGACTCCTGCCGAGCTGCGTGTTCTCCCTTGTCAGGACAAGGTTGTGTCCCCCCRAGAAAGCAGCAGGTTTGAGATAGGGTGCATGGAGCCAGAGCAAGACTGCCAAGAGACATCCATGCAAGTGACACTGCTGTGGTGGAGGACAGTGACATCAAAGCACTTTCTGCTGCAGAAGAATCAGTTAGTTTGGCAGCAGATGCCATCCTTGCTGCTGACAGAGAAAGGACTCTGAGACCTCACGTCCAGCACCAACACATTCATGTTTCCTTGCGACCCAAAAAAGCACTAGACCTCTTCAGCTCCTTGCAAGCTGCTGGGACTGGAGGGTCTCCTCAGTCCTAAGGGGCTCATACCGAGCTGAAGCTAAGGGGAAGACCTAAGTGGGTCCTCAGGATGTGGGAGCATCAGTCCTACCCATGAAAACCCCCCAGGACCAGCAGCAGAGGACGGGTGACATTCAGTCCCTGTGTGGTGCCAGAGGAGCCAGGTTCTGTGGAGCTAGGGCAGAGCTGGAGGCAGCCAGCCATGGACCCACAGATCATTTCATAAACGGGCAACATTTTGCAAGCATTTTTCAGTCACAAATGACAAGTTGCCAAGTAAAATCCTAAACACCATCTGAAGTGTGATGGAGAAGTAACATCCTTCCCAACAGGGTGCTGCTTTTTAAAATCCTGTAGCAAAAAACAAGCTGTTCTTACAGAATAAATTGTGCCATGTGTGTTACCRGACATGAAGACACCCCAGCCGCTCGCAGCAGCCCTCCTACCACCCAGCAGCACCTTAGCACTAACAAACAGGAGCAATCCCACATTGTTTCCTGCCTAATCAGCCCTGGCGAAGCTCCCACCATTTAGCTGTCTAGCAGGGAAACCAAGCTTGCACCCATGGTTTTTCTCACTGAACTCACTGAGCGCGCTGCTCTTTGCTCCCATTCCTGCTCACACCTGGCAGGGCAGACCAGAGATGCAGCAGCGACAGGACATGCTGCGCACAGGCTCCTGCAATCCCCACAAAATGCTGCAGGAAACACGAGGGGCACGGGGAGCAGCAGCGGGAATCGTCCCTGCAGCAGCTGCTGACACGGGAAAGAGCAGCCTGTCCCATGCGCAGAGAAATGAGCCCACGGGGAGGAAGCAGAAGTTCAGGARCAGAAGTTCGGGGAGCAGATTTGTGCATCCCGTTGGAAAGCCCGGGATGTGCCTTGCAAGTGGCACACACCTCCCGAGCTCGCGYGGAGGCGGCCGCAGCCCCCGGGGCCCTGCCCCAAGCGGCCGCCGCGGCGCTCGGCACTCACCTTGGCTGATCTTGATGTTGGTCTGCGGGAAGGCCTGGGCGGTGAGCAGCGCCGCGGAGAGCACAGCGCACAAGTGCCCCCGCAGCACCATGGCCGGCCGCTCTGCCTGCCGACGTGCTGCTGCGGGGCCGTGGGGGCGGCCGGCGCACTGCACCCTCCCTCCATCCCTTGTCCGTCCCTCCCGCGCGCCGGGCGCTCCGGTGACAGGCCGGGAGGCTGGCCTGGCCCCAGGGGGCTGAGCCCCCGCGCGCTCGCCACGTCCCACTGCCCCAGCAGCGCTGGGGCGCAGGGGAAAGCGAGCGCTGGGGGCTCCTCTGCCTGCACTGGCTGTGCAGCCCGCAAGGGACCTCGCTGGTCAGGTCCCCTCTCCACCACGCTTCCCGGGAAGTGGTGACTTTGTGCCCGTGGATCCATGGACGCTGGCCAGCTGGCACAGCATGGCTTGGAAAGGGAACAGAGGCCCAATCTTTTCATTTTGGTGCCTGCAAAATGCACCCAGCTGGCCCAGTGCGAGGCCAGAGCCTTCCAGATACGCAGTGGACTTGGGGAGCTGCTGCGGGCTGCGTTAACGCAGCGAAGGCTGGCAGCAGGGCAGCGTGCGCACACCAGGACCGCGCGCTCCTCCTCCTCCCCAAACCAGACGGAGGCTCAGGGCAGCCTTGGGGACAGGAGTCTATTTTGCAGGTCTACTTCCCCCACACTTACGCAGAGCACATTCCTGTCCCATGTCAGCTTCAGCATAGAGCTGCCACAAACCACCCATGGAAGAGCATTAATAGCAATGCTATTGACTGCTGACTCCACCACAACCTCCCACACAGCAGTAACCAAGTGGACTCGTACCACTCTCGCTTGCCCAGGGCTCCTCTGGGGTTCCCTCCCCTCAGTGACTTACTGAGGAGACAAACCAGGAGGAAATCCCAAGAACAGAGAGATTTGCCACTGTCTACACTGTCTGCCTTGGCCAGCCGCTGTGAGTCTTCTTAACGCAAAGAGGAGAGCACATCCACATCTCTTGCAGGAAACCACAGACACTTGAACCAGCCCATCCTTAGCCAAACCCCATCACCGGGCCAGTGCTGGAGATTTTCAGTCAAACACATGTTGAAAGACGGCGTTCTCTGGAATACCCAACAACAGCAGATGGGTGAGGGACACGGCCTGCAGCTGCACRTGTTTCCCTGGGATTTTGCCACTGTCCTCTCCCACACTGTCCTCCTCCCCTCTCCTCTGGATCACATTACACTCCACATTCAGAGCTCCATGCAGCAGCGCATCCCTGTGCTTGCAGGCCARCAGCTCCAGCAAGGCCCCCTCCCACTCTCCACTTGCAAACTGTTGATGCTTTGTGTTGGCTTTGAGGTGGTCTTTGCTCCTACACTTCTTACCTTGCGTTTGCTGCGATTTCCTCTTCCATGACAGCAYGCTCAAATTCAGCTGCCGCGTGTATTACGCGGAGGTCTGTGTCCAAGCACAGAGAGGAATGAAATGTCCACAACCCAASCCAACAGCAAAGGCCCCGGGGTGGACAGGGGCTCCCGCCGCTGCCCCGCGCAGGAGAACGGCTGCGCGCAGCGGGTGCAATGGCCACGCGTTGCTATAAAGCAATTACACAGGTGACTTGGGGAGCGGGCCGGGGCCAGAGCCCTGGGGCTGCCCTCCCACCTCTCGGGTTTGACCGCCAAAGCACCGACATGGCAGAGGAGGCAACCCAGGGCCCGAGGCTTTCCATCATGACCTGGATAAACACTGCTGAAGACAGGACAGATGCTCCTTTCTCCAAAATGAAGATACGGAAAGAAAAAGTCATGGGTCAGGCCCAGCTCCCTTCAGGCTGATGTCCTTTTAATTTGGTTTTTGAGCAGGCTGCAAGGAAGATACAAAGTATTATGTGGTCAAAATGCAGATAAACTGAGCAAAGAAAATAAATTAATCTGGGGCCCAATTTTGCAAAGAATGGAGACCCAAACCCCAATACAAACCCTTTCTTATATCAGATTCCCAGTGCTCTTGGCATACCCTGCACGGGAGCTACTCAAGGGAAGAACAGCACAATTGAACYTCTTTTGGACAAATCTGCACCAGTATAGCTCCGACAGCACCAACCTGCAGTGAGCACACGGTCACTTCCAACCTGCAGCTTTTCCTATGCCATAAATGCAACCATGGGAGCTCAACACACAGATGAGTGGTGCTACCAAGCATCACCTCAGGATACATGGCACAGTCAAGTAGATTTTTATTTTCAATAAATATACCACCTGCATCATGTCAGACAACACGCTATGAAAAAATGTACAGAAGCAGCCAACAGAAGGGACAGCTTGACYGCAGCTACGCTCACTTGGTGACGTGGGAAACTACCTTGGCTAACACACGGGACACGGGGAGAGCTGCCGCAGTCTGTCGGAGTTAAAACCGTGGGGCTGGGGTGCGTCTCCTGCAAAGCCCCAGACCTGGTCCCTTCCACGCACCYTGGCAAAGGCTTCGAGGGCCGGGAGCCGGGAGTGTTCCCGGTACAATGTCATTGGCAATGTTGGCTACACGGTGACGGTATCTACGGGACACAGAGAGGCTGCTACGCGGAGGGCAGGGCCCGGGCGCCCCAGCGCACATGTACGCGGCCGCGCCGCCGGGGCCGGGCTCCGTTACTAGCACAAGGACAAAACCGGTGTGGGAATCGATTTCACCACAGTCTACCGCTTAAAAAAACACATATCCTAGCCTAATCACCACGTTCACCGACGAGAGCACAAGGGACTGATATCTCCGAGAAGGCAAGGCGCGCACGGGGACCGCCAAGGGCAGCGGAGGCAGCTCCAAGTCCTGCCGTCAGCTCCGCACCCCGGTTGGAGCATCCCGGCCCCGCTCCCGATCCCAGCCCGCTTGGCAGCCGCCGCTGCACCACACGAGGCTGAAGAGAGCAGTGGGTGCGGAGCGGGATTTCGCTCTTCTCGGGTGCTTTGGAGTTTTTTTTGGTCTGTTTTTACGTTTTCCTCCTCCGCGCGGCATCCAGCTGCTCAGGTCACCTCGAGGGAGGCGGGCGAGACGCGGTCGCACTCCTGCCGGGAGCGCAGGCTGTGCCACTGCTCCACGGCCGTGCGGTGCGCGCCCAGCATGCGGCGCCAGTGGTTGGACTCGGGCGCGCCCGTGGCGTACTGCCCGATGACGATCCGCCCGATGAAGTCGTTGCTGCTCTTCACGTTGTGGCCGTACACTGGGGAGAGAAGAGATGGAGATGGGTGAAGCCCACGCGCAGCAGCCACAGGGAGCCCAGCACCCTGCGGCACTTGGAACCGCTGGCACCCAACGGAGCGCCTCAAAAACACCAGYGAGACTTAAGTGGTAGTTGGGGAAGAATAAAATAAGCTCCACCACACATTAAAATAYAGTTCAAATAAACAGGATGTTCAGAATCACAGCTCGCTAACGTGATGTTCAGCATAAAGAGGTGAAGCCGAATTGCACTGTGAAGAAAGGCTGAACTGTCTCCCTCAGTATAACACAGGCAACACGCACCTGGGTAAACGAGCAAGCAATATTTCGTGTTGCTTTCCTCCTGCTGCAAATGCTAATGAACCATTCTAATGATAACGGGGGCCTTTCCCAGCTCACGAACATAAATCACCTGTGGACCATGCTGCCAGGGGGACGTTTACAAAGCAGCAGCTTTCCATAATTGTCACAACAGCAATATTAAATGCCCAGGAAAGGAACCCAAAGGAGACATACACTGAGCACCCAGCCTTTCGATCAGCCTCATCTCATGGAGCAAAAGGTTGCAGAGCACCGAGCTGTAACTGTGGGCCCGATGCTGGAAGTCRCTGAGCCCAACACAGCCGGGAGCGAGCGCGCTCTGCACGTCTCGGAGCAAACCCTGCCTTGCACATCAGGAAGCTSAGTAAACAGGCTGTGTGAGCCAAAGCCAGCATAGCCACAGGCACCGGCTCCTCTAGGAAGGATTAAAAACCCTCTCACAAAAGCCAGGGATTTTTAAGAACAAATGCCAGCAGGGGATCCAAATCCCCTGCGTGACCCAGGCGCAGGYTGGCAGAGCCAGAGCGAGGTCAAAGGGAAGGCAGCCTGCATCTCCAATCCCAAACCTTGCCCAATCTTTCCTCCAATTTCATGCACTAAAAATACATTAAAACCTGCAGCATTTCAATTCCATCTTTAAAGCAGGAGAAATGAAGTCAAGGCACATCCTCCTGTTAGGAAGCCCGAGCCTGTCCTGACTGGGGGCAATGCCACCTCCAGGGAAGTGCCAGCACTTGGTTTTAACCAGAATGGGCATCTTAGGAGTGTGCGTGAGGGGGTTTAAGGCATCCGTCTCTAACTAGCACACTGTCAAAGTTCTTAACGAGCTCTCCTACAAGGCAATGGATCACCAGCGTAGCTGCCATAACTATGCTAAATGTCCTGGTATGACTTATCATCCTAAAGAAAACAAATATTATGATAAAATATTATGATAAAAAACACACAGGAGTACTCCAACCAAATGTCTCATTTTTTTTTTCACATAAGCTGATTTTCTTTCTTTTTTTTGGTTCTTTATTTCAAGATGACAAGCAGCAGCAGCAGCCTAATCCTGAGAGACAACAGCAAGTGATTCAAACCATAAAGTCCTAAAGGCCATCGGTTAATCACAGTTTAAATTAGCAGCAGCAGAATATCCCAGGCATACAAATTCTTCAGAAATAATTCATGTCAGGATTGTAAAACAAGTAGATGTGTTAAATGTGGGCACCAGTGATTACAGTGTTGATCCAATTATTTTGGATTCCTGTGACTCAGAGTGTCTTGTCCAAAATCCTACCTTTTGAATATTAAAGCTCGTTTTTTTTTTTTTTTTATTCTAAGAAAACTGTTGGAATCCATAGGACTCATCTTCATTCCCACTAAAGAATGTGAATGCTAGTCTCGTTGTTGCAGGTAATTTACCATGTGGMTTCCTTTAGGGTATTAATGTGCTAATTACACAAGCATTGTTGCTTCCATCATTAACTAGTTTAGATAGCACAGCTGCAGACTTATTGCTGAAGAACAAGGAAGAGATTTTCTGACTTTTATGATGGGCGCTTCAAGGCCAAATGCTTAATCATGACCCATCTGCATAATGTAAGAGATGGTGCTATAATCCACCCTATGTTTACAAACTTGCATCCTCACCATGGCAGCTGCCTCACAAGATAAGATGTCTCTGTGTGTCAAAAATCCAGACTCATGTAAAAACTCACAGATCTTTAAAATTCCAGGCCATGCCTTTCCTGAAGGCTATTTGCCTTTTTTCTACTCTCTAAATAGCCAACATTTGCTGAGTGAATTTATTGATAGTTGGATCTCGGATCTGCTGTAAGGACCTTACCCAGGAGAAGGTGCTGAAGTTTTCACTGTGTAAATAACCTTTTCTCTGATCACGTTCAAGAACATTTTTTTCCCTGCTGCTGTCACTGGCTCTTCCAAGATCAGTTGGGGAAGAAAAGCTGTAAGAGTCTGTAAACACAAGCGAGAAAAAACTGAAAACAAAACCCGTGTCTGCAGGCTGCACCTGGGATATGGCAAAGCGGGTCGGTGCGGGGTGTCAGGGGCTGCAGTCCCAGCAGTGCGCAGCGGCCACCAGCCCTCGCTGACAATATCCCAACTGCTCTGTTTTACTCCTGCTGCACCCTTGGGCGCTCAGACACGATTCAAAAATGCCAACTTCCCAAGGCGTATCAACAGCTGCATGTTATTCTAACCCTGCTCTGCTGGGAAGGAAACCTGCTCCATAAGGCGAGATCTGGCACGGGAACCTACAAGGACACAGACCTGCAGAGGACACTCAGGCACTCACCTGGGTCCTGAGGCCTGGGCCACAGCGGCTGATGGCTGCACCCCTTCTCCTGCCTGAAAAGCCTTCAGACTAGGTTTCAGTGTGCTCTTGGCCTCCAAAATCAGGARCTGCAAAACCCTTCAGAAGCACAAAATGAGGTAATTACCATTCAGCCTCTCCAGGCTGGCCCAGACTCCAGTTATGGGCAGGTAGGCACCGCTTTCCATTTAAGAAATCTATTTTCCTGATAGAAACTGCACACCTGATCTCATGAGCTCTTTTTTCCACCATTGCAGTAATTCGCACAATAACAACATCCATTTCCAGGCCAACACAGAGCAAAAAGCAATTAAGGAGCAGAGGTCAAACCAATTCCTTCTGCAGCTGCTCTTTACTGAGCGTCGCTTTTGGAAATAGAAAGGTTTCTTTAAAAAAAAAATCCCTTCATAATAGAAATGCTGAAATATAAGTCAAAATCAGGTTCACTTATGCCCATTAAAAGGGTTGGATTCTTGAGTATCAGCAATATGATGTAAATTAAGTATTTATATATTTTGTATTTATGGATGCCTTCTTCCTAGATGGAGCTCCTGCCCTCTGCATTCGGTGACTGCACCCCTGGGTTCCTGCCCACCGGAGCAATCGTGATCTCACTGCTGGGATCGTGACTTCCAAGGAGGCTGTGCTCYACACGTGGTTTCCTCAGAGCCACCAGGTTCCACACAGTCAGCAAAACAAGGCAGTCCTCTGGTGATGTGGCACATCTGGGTCCAGCAAGCTCTTCTGCAGACCCGTCACGAGACAACACRAGAGTTGCCATCCAATGCCTGGCTCTGGGGAGAGCTCCTGCATGAGCTTTTCTTCCTCTTGCACCAAACCTGATCGCATGTGATTGCTGGTAACCAGATCAACAGTTTTGCTGGTGACAATATAGCCTGTTGCCCACTGCTCACCCAAGGCTCTTCTGCTGGACTGTTTGGGTGCAGGCACCTGACCCAATCCAATCTCCTTCCACTTTGCTTCTGCACCGAGACACCCAAACCGAGCACCTCTAAAGAGCCTGACTGCAAAGTGTTGCAAAGATCTTTCCACTTTGCTGCAAAGATCTTCACTGCAAAGTGCGAAGATCAGGATTTAYGGCTTCAGTGTAATAGTGAAATTCRGTGCAAATTCAGCTAGTACTTAATTCATCCTTCAGAAGACCACATTAGCAGCCCTGACACAACCAGAGRGAAGCSCTAATTCACAGCATTTCCTCCAGCCAGCTCCAGGCTGTGAGTAGCACAGGGAGGAGCCCACCAGGAGCCCCTGCGTTAGCTGGGGCCACAGAGCACCAGTGTCCCCCGAGAGCCCCGTGGGGCAGTTCCCACGCGGCGGAGCACGGCGCGCCGGAGCTCTGCTGCCGCCTGCCGGCATGCRGCCCGGCCACGGGGCACAGCGGCGCCCACGGCCCCTCCAGCGCCAGGGCCCAAAACCCGCGGGACAGGGACACCTCCAGCCACAGCACAGACCAGAGCTCTGGCACAAGAGCCTGACTCTCTCCCACTCACCTCCAATGTGATTTCTACCATTTCACTCCAAGAGAAAAAGCACAAGCAGGGACCTGCCTTCATTTCTCATGTGTGCTCTCATTTAGACTAGCTGTCAAGCAGAACATCTTCACCCAATTTACAAGCCAATTAGCATATTTATAGTAAATGCCACCCATTCTCTTAACATTTTTTCCCCAAAGCTTTGTTTAATGCAATTTTCTTGCCTATTGCATATTTTAAAAGGCCTTGAATAATTAAATGCCAGTGTGCAGAACACATGCATCCAACTCGACACTGCACCACAATGCACTAACCCGGGCAAACACCCAGCCGAGGGCAAACCTGAACCCAGACACAGGAACAAACCCTAGGAAGGCAGAAACCCACCATGAGCAAGGCCCGACCCAAGTCAGTCCAGACTCCAAAGAACAAACGTTCAACTTAATGTTCATAGCTGATTTCATTGACAATATTGGCTACTGTTAGCACAGACCCATTAATGCTCGCTGGTCACCTCCTCTCTGGTCTCGGGGCCGGCGAGGGGCAGCCCCTCAGCAGAGCACGTGGGTGACGCTTCCTTGCCTGTCCTTCGCCAGCCCGACCCAAGCTCCAGCCCTCGCTGTGCCAGCCGGTGAGCTCTGCCCGTCAGCAGTGGGCCTGGCAGGTTAAACAGGTCTGAAAATTGCTCCTGAACTGCTTGACATCAATACTAAAAAGCTATTTAGCACAAAGAGCATGCCATTAGGAACAGCAGACCAAACCACTGATGATACGTGCTATGAAAGCCACAGCTACAGACTAACTCTGCCCTTTGCTCCTTCAGCGAGGCCCATAAAATTTGATAAAGATGACAGAAAAGCAGAGGAGAAG